TTTTTTTTCATGATGAATAATACGAACAGATCGTACGTCTTTGTTCCAATAATATACAATTGATATATGACGGTTTTTTAAATCACACTTCTTATGGTCAATGTGTAACATAGCTAACGAACATATACCCCTGGAAAAATGAATTTTATAACAAGAAAACCTTTACATAAAAAATTTTATTTTGTGCAAAGTTTTTTGAAAACACCTATACAATGCATGACCTTCATTAACGATTTATTATGTTTCGAAGATGATCAAAAAGACAAAAAAAAGAAAATTTCTATTGAAGAAATAATATTTCGTAATAATATGCAAGCATTTCAAATTTTTATTTATATACTTTTTCTCTCACGGTATTTTTTATATGAAATGAAAAACAAAAAAGTTATTGATGCCGATAGTTTATATAAGAACATGCAAATGTACTTAAAAGCGAATAATATGAGCATTAATTGGTTGTCTATTAATTCCATCGTGATCAAATTCCTTTTCATTAAGATTGTGTTCTAGGTGAATGTTATCTACTGGATCATTATCAATTTGAGAACGACTTGACTTTAGTCGTTTCAAGAGAGGAACTCTAAATGCTTTTTTATTTGGATTTTCCGGATTGTAATGTAATTCCAAAGTTCCATTATCTTCAGCTTCTTCTTTCGTCATACCTTGTTCTTCTAGAATTTTTTGCACAAGATCACTAACAGCTCGTGATGCGGTCACTTCCCAATTTTCACCATGCTCTAACGTTAAAATACATTTTCTTTTGTATTCTGTAACTAAAAATTTTATTATACCTGTTAGATCAAGTCCTTCAAGTTCATCTTCTTTTGCCAAACGAATGCCCATAATCCAATGCAAAGGAAAAAGAATACCAGCAGTACATGCAGCAGCAAAACCTAATTAACAGCATCATAATTAGACTTCCAATTTAAATATTGTTTAACTTACCAATTGCTGTAAGAATACCAGCAATTTGATACCATATTTGAATTGGTCGTCCATAAAAAGCACCATCAGTACCCATTAGTGGATTGACCGATTTTTGAGGAAATAAACCAGTCATAAATGCACCTAATATACCTCCTATATAAAAACAGAAAAAAAAAGTTAATTTCAAAACAATATATTAAAATTTCTTGTGTACCACATCCATGAACAACAGCAACATCTAATGTATCATCAAAATGCATGTGATGTTTGTTTAATATAAGAAAATAGACAATAACTGTTGCAATAAAAGCAATGAGTAAAGCCCATCCAGGTTGAACGAATCCACATGCTGGTGTCACAGCTACAAGACCTACTATTGGACCAATGCAAGCACCTGAAATAGATACATGTCCACGAATAGCATCGATAACTACCCATGTCACCAGTCCAATAGCAGCTGCTGCATTTGTATTGATTATAGCTAGAGCAGCTAAACCACTAGAATCAGAAGAAAAAAAAATGAATATTATACATATATTTTCTGTTCTGTTGTTTTACTCTGCTCCATTAGATGAACCACCATTAAAACCAGACCATCCTACCCATAATAAACATGTACCCAATATAGTAAATGGAAGATTATGAGCTGTAGTACTATATGGATCATAATCAGATCGTCTACCAAGAATTAATGATGCAACAAGACCTGATACACCAGATAAAATATGTACTACGGTTCCACCAGCAAAATCAAGTGTACCCAAATGTTTTAACCAACCATTATTACCCCATACCCAATGAGCCATTGGATCATAACAAACAGTTGTCCATATAAAAATAAATATCATATAAGGAATTAATTTCATTCGACCAACAATTGCACCTGAAATAAGAGCTGGTGTTATTATAGCAAATGTACCTTCATATGCAGCAAATGTTAATAATGGATATGTTGGACTATAGATTGCATTGTTATATTCACCAAATCGTAAAACAGACCATCCAAATGATCCAAAACCAACACTAATCGGAGGACCATAAGCGAATGAAAAACCAAATAAAACCCATTGTAAAAAGACAATACCCATACAAATAAATGAAAGAAAAAGTTGATTTAAAATATTTTTTCTATCAACAAGACCACCATAGAAAAAAGCTAATGCTGGTGTCATAAGTAAAACTAATGCAGTGGATGTCATCATCCATGCATTATCACCAGTATCATGATTGCTTGGAATCATCATCGCCATCGTTGTCATCGTCGTCGTCATCGTCATCGTCGTATTTTCCATTTTTGTATTTATGGTATTATTAATAACTTTCTTGTAACAAAATCAACTAAAAAGCAAAAGAGAAGCAATAATCGAAGAGACCTTTTTATATGTGGGACGAAAAGAAAAAAAGAACAAATCAATGTAATTATGTGTTGACGTAGTAGATGTGAACAAGTAAAAAAAAATGTGCTGTGAGCATTAGAGCATGAATAGAACTGGTTTTTATATATGTAGATACTATTTTGAGTTTATGCGAGGGTCTATATCACTCATTGTGTATATGAATCAATATGTATATATATATATGATTTTGCTTTCCTGTGAATTATCGACAATATCATACAATCGCTTTTGTTTATAAAATGTTACAGGTAATGAAGTATAATGCATATCGACATCAATGGTGAATTATTTTTCCTTTCCTTTGCAACTTTCATACGAAAAACATATTTTCATTAATAATATTCATTATCTAATACACTTACATTTTTTACACTATTTTGAATGATAGATGTATAATGCACAGTGTCGATATATATATTCTTGTTTATACTAATTCTATATACATGAAAAGAACGAAAAAAAAGTAATTTTCATGTCATGTCAACACGTGAAAGAGGTTATTTTTACAATTCATTAGTAATCGATTTTCATATTTTTCGAATAAGTAGATAT